CAACGAAAAAAACAATCAACTAAAAATATCGACGGATAACGGAGTTACGTTCAAAACCATAAGCTTACTACCGGGAAGCTACGAATACGTAGCCATCAACGATTACCTATCCGAATACGCAGGAAGCGTGAGCGGTAAAAACAATATCGAATTCGAAGGTAATTTGAATCTGAACAAAATAAAACTGATCTTGAGAAATAACAGTCAAGTCGATTTCAACGTAGAAAATTCGTTGAATGCGTTACTAGGGTTCGATAAACGAATATACGCGCAATGGACATTGGCGCCACACAAGGCCAACATCGAGAACGATATCGACGAGATCAACATTCACTGTAATTTGATCAATGGTGGATTTTTCAACAAGCACAAACGCCAAATCATATACAGCATACCGACTTTTACGGTGCCGATCGGATACAGAATTATAGAGAAACCGTTTCAAACGACCTATTTACCAGTCAATTCTTTCATGATCAAAGATATAAATCTGGAAATCAAAGACGGTAAAAACAGGTTCATAGACTTTGGCAACGAAGAAATTGTCATTCAACTTCATTTAAAACAATCTTCATTCTCTTCTTGAATAGTAAGATAATCGAAATCATCAAATTCATAGTTTTCATCAAAACTATACTCATCTTTGTCGTTGTAAGGATACATAATTCCTTCACTGTTTGGTGGTTTTCTTTTAACATTATTCAAATAACTTCTAAAAACTTTAGTTTGTTTATCATTTGGAATAACTACTCCATTGGTGAAACTTTTTTCCCATGGTTTCTTAAATTTGTTCAACACATCATGTCCGCTTGCTAACTGAACGTAGTCTTCTACACTTATCTTATCAGTAGAATAACCTTTAAACGTTTTCTTTTCTTTTAAAACACCATCAGAAGTCAAAACGATGTTGTATTTGACTTTTGGTGCTAAATATAAGCCAAATATAATTCCACCGTCACCGTAATCGTTTTTACCTTTGCAATAGTATTTTCGGAGACCAAACCAGCTCTGTTTAGTTTTTCCCAATTGTTGGATGAAATGTACAAACTATCGGTGTCGGTATAGTATATTTCGGGTTTATAAAATCCATTTATGACGTGAA